ATCAGTGTTCCTTTTAAACTGATCAGATTTAGAGCGTTTACTGGATCCAGACTGATCTGGGTAAATGTAAAGGGATTCAGACATTTATCAACATCTTTTATTATGTCACTAATCTTTCAATACTGTACCATTGATTTTAATGTTTTGAATTAATTCAGTACCTTAATATTTAATATAACTCTTTTGTTTACATCTTTATATAATCAAAAGCTTTAGAGTTGATCACACGTGACCGAAATCTTACACCACACCTTTGTACCAGAATCACTGAGCAGTGAACAATCTGGTTGTGTTCTGTAACAAAATAGCCTGTTTAATCAAGCAACTGCATAACCACTCCCCAATGGAGTGATTCAGCCACAGAGAAGCAAGCATAGAAAGAAAGGATCAAATCACAAATTGACAATAGCAGTAAAGCTGTGACTCTAACTGTAAAAAGTGTCATTACTTCAAAATGAAGGCACCAAAAAGGGTCTTTAGGGTGATAAAAGAACCGCTTTGGTCACCTAAAGAACTTTTCAATTAATGATTCATTAAAGAACCATTTTTTAAGAAAGATATGCAAGTCTGATTAATGTTTTTCATAGTTTAAAGAACCTCCACACCGTGCAAAGATTATGTACCAGTTAACCCCTTAAATGGCACAAGCAGGCCAAAAGTTTTATAACATACTTCTACCTTACATACAAGTCAGAAAACATGTAGGAACATTTATTTTTAAGAGTGTGACTTAACAGTTTTATGCTCACCAAATCTTTGCTAGCCTCTTAGCATCTGTGAGCTAATTATTATTACACATGATATTCAGTAACTACATGGAAAACAAGGCAAATCAATTGAGTTATTATTAAATTAGAAAAGGGCGTTCTATATAGTACTGAAAAATGGTTCTCAAACTTCTAACAACAGTCTAACCCTTTTTAGTGTTATATAGAATTATATAGCACCATTTACAACCAGTTTCCAGCATAAAGAATAACCATTTATGCATTCAAGTGGTGCTTTGAGTGTTCTCGGTTCTATAAGGTACCATTACCTTAATCGTTTTTTAAAGAGTGCTGGAGTCAAGAAATGTCCACTGTCCACTTGCATAAAACAAACAAGTATTTATTTAAAGTTACTGCAACTGCCAAAATTAAAAGTGCTGAAACTGAAACGTTAGTTTAAATTCAGGTTACAGTTCTGGATTTTTTGAGTTTCCACTTAAACATTTAATAAAGAGATTTTATGCAGCTCGAATAATATAAAGGGAAAATTTAAGGCCAGAATTCACTTCGGATATTTTCTAAGTAACCACAAGCCCTTGAGTGGTAAAGAGTTAAACAGGGAGCACTCGGAAGTGGGACATACTCTTCGTTTCCAGGCCTACGTGCAATTTTAAAGTGCTTCTTGCTTCCCATAGCCCTGAAATGCAATGTTTTTGGTCACTGTGTCCTTAAGAGATTTAGGAGAGGCTGCTGCTCTAGAGTGTTTAGGAAAGGGGTAAAGAAAAGTGCTGCTATGGATCATTTCAAGGCCACATACGTCTGTCAGAGAGGCAGGAGGGCCTTGGAGTCACAGAAGGTCTCTTGAGAATATCCAGCTATTCCAAAGATCCCAGCTCTCCGTATGACCTGTCCTGAAGAGTAGGGGCAGGACCATCAAATCTAGAAGGGTAGTTACAAGATTTACTGATTGAATTTAATTCGATTCAGTTGTACAGCAGACACTGTCTGCACCCATACAGTATTGTGGTGATGCACTCATTTGAGAAAAACCCATTGTGATCAAGTTGGCCATTGAAACAGGGTGAAAGGTGTGTTTGAAGGCAGTGAGGATATACTTGCATAATGATTCATTTATTATTTTCTGGCACTGAGCGTGATTGATTAAGTGTTGACAGGTCTCAACATGATTGCCATGGACAATAGCAAAGCCATAGTTAGCATGACGTAGCAGCTGCTATCTGTCAGACTCCGTGTCCTCGAGCAGCCTGGCTAAAGAAAGGCGTGTCTGCAAATAAGTAACAGCCCTACAATGGACAGAAACCGATTACAACCCTATTAAAAGGCTCATGATGTAACTTGCTCTAAGCTGGAGGATGCCAATGCCGTTTGCATCCTGGGAAGGGTTTATGTGCTATGTCTATATCTCTCTGTGGCTCCTGCCCATGCGTGCTTGGCCTCTTAATGAAAGGCTTCATCAATCAGGTTTATTGCAGAATGCCATTTGGAATGATTGCTTGAACAACGACCTTCTGGCCTTTGTGTAATTTAATTAAGGTGCTGTGAAATGTATTTTTAGGAACACCGTTTTTGAATGTTTACCTGTGTGTAAAGATCTAACAAAGATGATGGAGAGAATGCTGGTAGGATCTTGATTAAACATTAGACTACATTTAGGCGGCAAAGTGTGATGAACAACAATAGAAGTGGAATTGATTTAATTTCAGTTCTTCCAACTCAGGGTGTCAATATGTGATAACAGTGTCATGCTACCGGTTATTGCTGACATATGTCGTAGTGTTAGCATTTCATGTTAACATTTGACATCAAACATTATGACATCTGTCTTGACAGTTATGGTAACATAACACTGTTATATTACTAAACAAAATCTGTCATGATAACTTGTAACAGCTTATGACATCTGACTCACCAGTTAAAGTACTACAGTATATGCCAAAACCTGACAATAGTAAAACAAAATGTAAAAATATGCATATGGCATAAGCATATTATACACAACAGCTGTCATGGCAATAGTTGCTCATGATAACATGACATTGTTATATCTTTTAATATAAAATATCTTTAAAAGTATAACATTTGTCATAACATGTTTATGACACTTGTTTATGACGCTGCCATAAAGAAGCTGTCATGAAATCTGTCAAAAAAGATATGCCAATCTGTTTTATTAGCTCTACTTACTATATAGATGCACTTTGTAGTTCTACAATTACAGACTGTAGTCCATCTGTTTCTCTGCACACTTTATTAGCACCCTATACCCTGTTCTTCAATGGTCAGGACCCCCACAGGACCACCACAGAGCAGGTATGATTTGGGTGGTGGATCATTCTTAGCACTGCAGTAACACTGATGTGGCAGTGGTCTGTTAGTGTGTGTTGTGCTGGTATGAGTGGTCCACCAACCAAAACTACCTAGCCAACAGCTGATAAACTGATAAAATGACCAGCACAAACTGTGCAGCAATAGATGAGCTACTGTCTCTGACTTTTACACCAGCAAGGTAGGTGTGTCTAAAAAACGTGGACTGTGTCTGACCTCCCCATACCAGCACAACACACACTAACACGCCACCACCACGTCAGTGTCACTGCAGTGCTGAGAATGATCCACCACCCAAATCGTACCTGTTCTGTGGTGGTCCTCTGGGAGTCCTGACCATTGAAGAACAGGCTTAAAGGGGGCTAAGAAAATATGCAGAGAAACAGAACTACAAAGTGTTCCTATTAATAAGTGGAGCTGATAAAATGGGTAATGGCTGCTTGGTGTTGCTAACAACATTTTTAGTTCTTGGTTTCTTTAGAAAAGTTGGGTAATATTTTCATTAAAAATGATCAAAAATCCATTATGATGTTTTGGCAATCAAACCAGAATCTTTATATAGAGAATCCCCACCCAAGATTCCACCCCTACACAGCATGTCCAGGCCAGCGCATGTCCGTTAGGCCCTCCTCACCAAAACATGTACCTGTGAAGAAGCGCTGCATGCATTACGTAAAGGCTTAGTGTTGTGTGTGCGGACTGAGGTAAGAATAAGCAGTGCACGTGTGAGTTCAGCTACTCTCAGATCCCAATAATTAGATTACACTGAGAGAACGACAGGGCTTCCCCATTAACAGAAGCAGCCTTCCTCAAGCATCACTGAGGAATAATACGTAACCTTGTCTTACAGTAACAATGAACTCAGTGCCCTTTGTTTATCTTGTATTATCATAGCAGATGTTGGAACATTTTGAACACTAATGTAGTTGGCAGTTTTACTTCTACCGTCCACGCGCAACCTACTACACTCACATACACTGTGGATGCTGATTTGTTCAGTTCACTTTGATGGTTTATCCAAAAAGATGCCCTTACATAGGCATTCAAACAAGTGCCTATATATAGGCTTAGTCTCACAACTACATCACTTACTTATGAGTTTCATATACTGGCTAAGTAAGTTATAGAAGTTCATGAATTATAAGTTTACATGATCAATAACCCAATTATAAACCTGCAATTTGTGAAATTAGTTGAGTAGGAGTTGTGTAAGAGTCAGGGTGCATTTTATATTTAATGTTTTATTTTTTCCAATATGTTAAACTCCAAAAGCCAAAAAAAAATAAATAATAATTAGTACACTAAAATTTGTCATACTTAAGTGTGTTCTCTGTAGAGGATGTGTTAACTTATTTTCATGTAGAAAATCAAGAAAACGGCATTTTAGCAGGGGTGTTCAAACTTTTGACCATAACCTTATGATTGTATGTACAGCACATACAAATACATTAAGGCAGCATAACTCAAATGAGTGGAAAAATCATTTGATCTATAAATCTCTTGAATAACTGCTGCTCAAAGTGAACAACTCCATAGTCTAATTAAAGTGTTTCTATTTTATGAAAAGCTACAAAGAGTCAATATCTAGACAAACTGACTGTCTGAAAGTATATACATTTTTACAAATGACAAAAGAGACAACAAAAATAAATTCCGCAAACAATTTCTCTTTCTGAATTTATTTTTGGTTCATTGCTGTTTTCACACTCTTGCTAATCCACGGATTATGCATCATTGTTTTCAATGAAAATTGAGCCAGTAGATTAAACTGCACTTAATCCAGTACATATGTGTTCTGACACGTGTGTGTTCATGTGTACGGATGCAAAACAGGTACAATAATGAAGAAAGTCATATAAAATGATAGATTTGTATCACCAGTCTAGTCATGTTATTTGTCATAAAAACAGACTGAAGTGATTCCTTTTCTGTTTTGTGTCTACACAGCATGTGACGGTGCAGCTGATGGTGGCTGTTGGCGCAGCGGTCATCGGCTCCTTACAGTTCGGCTACAACACGGGTGTTATCAATGCACCTCAGAAAGTGAGTGCAGCACCTCAGACGTTACAGATTGGATTCATCCTACTGAGCTTAGAACTGTAGTTAAAATTTCTTTCAAAGACTTAGAGGTAGAAAGAGTCAAGATTATTAGTCCACATTTAGGTCTTGTCTTTGAAAGATTCTCTCTTTTTTCCATGCTACTTCAATGCCATTATGTGTGATCTCTATATACTTTATAACCCCATAATATCCCTGTAGTGTTTGCAAGACAAGCTTAATGTGCCCTTCCTGTTTTTCCTGTTAAGATTAATTTGTGAAGAGCACAACCTAATAATAGACAAACACTACCCCCACTAGAGGTCCTTATCAGGTTATGTTCAAAGTCTATTTTCCACCCCATATATGGAAATCCAGCTCCAATGCAGGACATAACAGAGTCTGATATTGTATAGACCGATTTATAACTTCCTGTTAAAATTATAGACTATCAGCTGGAATATGACTGAGACGGTAGTGTAGAAACAAATCACAGTGGCGTATTTGCTATTTAACAACATGTTTTACTTTAAACTGCAAGAGCCCACAACTAAACTCCTTACTCTCATAACTACATTCTATGGCACCCAAAAGTATTTGGATACTCATTCCATAATTAAAGATGTTAGTTTATTGTGTTAGGAAACAATATGTCAAGTGCCATTTATGCTAAACAGACCCTTCCAAGACTAATTTCTTTTTTGGCAAAGTATTCTTTCAAAAGGCAACTAGTGTATTTAAGATCATTATCGTTTAAGCAATTCTTCTGCAGAAATGCACTTCTGAGTTCATGATCCCACCAGTGAAGACAAGCTCACCATCACCACTGTAGGAAAGACAGCCTCCAATATTTGTTTTTTCCATTTATGTGCTTTACAGTAGTCTTAATGCAGTTTGGTTGGAAACCTCCTCCAAGATTTCTTCACTCAAACTGTCTACTGTCAGTCTGATGTTGTGCTAAAAATGTTTTTTTTTCTGAAACAAATATTTTATTAAACATTTTATGAAGTAATCAACATAACCTCAAACAAAGTTTACCAATGGTTAAAGGTGCAGTGTGTAAGATTTAGGGGGATCTATCAGTAGAAATGGAATATAGTATACAAAACCATATTTTCATTAGTGTATCATCTCCTGTAACTATGAGTACTTGTGCTTTTGTTGCCTTAGAATGAGCCCTTCATATTTACTTAGATCCTCTTCCAACAGAGGCGACAATGTTGTGCCTCCATGTTTTTACAGTAGCCCAGGATGGACAAACTGGCTCTAGAGAGCGCCTTCTGAGTTTTTATGCTGAAGTGGCAGTGAATCAGTGGTTGACGCCGGTGCTGACTAACCTTTTTTGTGTTGTGAGAAGTTTAAGAACCCAAATTTTGACAAATCGAGGATCATACTTCTTGTTTAGCACAAGAAAAAGCAAGGGAGGGTGAATTCTCATCATCAATAAATTGATTCTACTACATGCTTGGAAAGGGAGGGAGCTTCATTTGGTTGCAATCTTACACACCACACCTTTAAATTGTCCAAATATGTTTTGGAGCTACTGTAACTTAATTGTTTCATAGTAGTCACCAAATAATTCAATTCAAATCGTGTTGGTTGTGCCAGCTCACATTCATTTTAATCCTACACTAAAGTGACTTTTCAGTGGGGAATAACTGTTGAAAGTATAAATTAATTCAAGACTAAACAATGACCTGGCCTCTATAATTTAAAGAGTTAATTATTTTATTTTCACACAAATGACACTTTAAAGTCCACAGCCTGTATTACTTCACTGAATCTGAAAGGTGTGTATATTAGGCTCTTAAGGAGCAGAGATTTGGCTTCAGAGGTGCAAAGAGATAAAGAGTTGAGGTGATGGCGTAAATCAAGGAGCTACCGAAGAGACGTGCACAGATCCACGTTGTGAACATGTGCAGATTAAGATTAGGGTTGTTTTAGGGTGTCTAAGCACTCCCTGGTACAGGAACAGCTTGTTTAGGATAGGTGCTGGCAAGAGTGCTGTAGCTCAAGGCCTCTGATGCTACATTATCAGTACTGCAACTCTAGACAAACTCCCTAATGCCCTCTTGTGACCTGTGAACTATCTTTGAAGGTCGCAGTCAGGAAAGCTATAAGATACAGCTATACTAAATTATCTTACTGTGTTGATAAAGCTTTAGTGAGTAGATTGTTAAGGAAATTACAACCTTCAGGCCATATGGTGGCAGCATATTAGCTCTGTTTCGATTCTATGCAGTGGTACCATTGTGTAGTCTGATGTCACTTTTATTGTCTTATCCTTTTTGAATGAAAAAAATTGAATGAAAGTAGTCAATTTCTAATCTGACACTGATAAACACATATTAATGTCATATATATATATATATATATATATATATATACACATATATATATATATATATGTGTATATATATATATATATATATATATATATATATATATATATATATATATATATATTATCAACACTACAATAATACATTCCCTATAATGTGAAGTCTTGCTCCCTCTGCTGGTTCAACACAGTAATCTCAGCGCATGGTTGAAGTTTTGATGATATTGAAGGAGATATCAGGCTGTGCACCTGGAGTTTTGTCATGCAGATTTTGCTCTAGTCCTAATCTAACACAAATGATCCAGTTGCTCAAGGCCCTCAGAAGCATATGAATGACAATATGTTTCATTCTGCAGGACTGCTGGTCCAGTACAGATATAGATATAATTTCTTGGCTATAAAACAGCTAGAAAAATGTGAAATGCCTCTCTTACTGTGAGGTACTTACAGCATCCATAGTATTCCTCATGTGCTGACTTTACTAAAATATGGGGAAATGTGTGGAATTTAAACACGTTAAAGGCACACTCCATCCAAAAGGAAAAAAATTACCATCGCTATATATCTTCAGTTATATTTTCCTGTTGAAAAGCCAAGGAAGGAAGGCAGATAACTTATGTTCCTGCCAGGAAGCCAAATATCTTATAGTAACCATGTAACTGTAGTAGTAAGCCTTCAAATCATTATTACAATGGAGAGAATGGACTAGTCAAATGACAAAAAAATAATTAGTCAGATGACAGGGACAATAAGCTAAATGCTACAGTTAGCAAGGTAGCTGACTATTACGTTTTCTTACATCATTTTGGTGTCTCTTCTCTTTCCTTTGGTTTCATTTTTTGCTGAATAAAGATAGAATCAATGTTTCCTTTGTGATTGTGTTGGCGACTAAGGTAAGAGTTACACTATCTAGTCTGGTTGTATTTATTAGCCTATGAATCGGTGGCTTACTTAGCAGTCAGGACTGGTTGGCACCACAGGGATTACTAAAGTTTGCGTAGTGCCTGCTGAGAACTGTTGATAAAACATGAAAGATGAAACTCTCCTGTCAAATCCATGAGGCTGAGGGTAATAATGCTGTGCTACAGATTTTTACACAACACAGCAAATAACTTACTAAACTCTAGTTTTAACCCAGAATGTCCCTTTGTGTGAAAACTAACCAGCAAGTTAAGAAGTATTATACTTTAATAATACTTGTATATATTATTATCATTAGCTGATACACGATTGGTCTTCTCTTTTAAATGTTTTACAATTTATGTTTTTTTCTTATAGACCATTGAAGAGTTCATCAATAAGACATGGTATGAACGTTATAATGAAAAAATACATGAAAACACCCTCACCACACTCTGGGCTATATCGGTCTCCATCTTCTCTGTTGGAGGCATTTTCAGCTCCTTCTCTGTAGGGCTCTTTGTCAATCGCCTGGGCAGGTAATATTTCAGAGACTTCCTACAGGCCTAATGGATTCAATGTACATTCTGGTTTTCTGATGCTCAACGTTCAACTTTCTTCTCTCTGCAGGAGGAACTCAATGCTTATTGCTAATGTCCTTGCCTTCATAGCAGCTGCTTTAATGGGCTTCTCAAAGCTGGCCGCATCATGGGAGATGTTGATCATTGGTCGGCTGATTGTGGGCGTTTATTCAGGCCTGTCCACAGGCTTTGTGCCTATGTATGTTGGTGAAATTGCACCAACGTCTCTGCGCGGGGCACTGGGCACTCTGCATCAACTGGGCATTGTCATAGGCATCCTGATGGCACAGGTAATGAGGAGGGCTTATCATGAAACACTTCAGTGTTAGGAAATATTATTTGTGGTCATAACAAAACATTGTATCTCCAAATAAGTAATTTTGAAGGAAAAGCCACAAAAAAAAAAAATAAAATAATGAATGAATAAATAAACAGATAAAATTAAGATTTTAGAAGTAGTTTTGGATCATTTCTATTGATCCACTGGTCACATGTAAAGGCCAGCTGGTGTTTTCAAATGATATAAAAATACAAAACAAAAACAACAAAAACAACAACAAAAAACAATTGGAGTTACAAGATTTTAACATCAGAGCGATGATATTGGTTTATTGTATCTGCCTTGTCTTGCAGATCTTTGGCATTGACTCCATCATGGGCAACGCTACAATGTGGCCTTTCCTGCTTGGCTTCACCTTCATCCCAGCTTTGATTCAGTGTGCCATGCTGCCTTTCTGTCCTGAGAGCCCACGTTTCCTGCTCATTAATCAGAATGAAGAGAACAAAGCCAAGAGTGGTGAGAGGCCCTAAAGTAGCTACACATAAACATTCCAACATCATAGTATCAGCAACTCTGTTCTTAAAGATGTGCTCTGTGAGGTTTTACCCATGAACCTGCATGTTGTGTGTAACTGTGGAATTGTTCTTGTAGTTCTGAAGAAGCTGCGGGGCACAGATGATGTGGGAGCAGATATCCAGGAGATGAAGGAAGAAAGCCGGCAGATGATGAGAGAGAAGAAGGTGACCATCTGCGAGCTCTTCCGCTCTCCAATCTACCGTCAGCCCCTCATCATCGCCATCATGCTGCAGCTGTCCCAGCAGTTCTCCGGCATCAATGCTGTGAGTTTGCATGTCTGTCTGTAAGTTTGGTTTTGTGGGTGGCCTTAGAAAGGAGATGACTCTTATGGAATAATAAAGATCGTCCAAAATTCATATACACTGTAAAAAATAATGTCTTGATAAGTGAAATCATATTAAATCTAGTCAATCTACAGTATCTAATATTTCTCATTTTGAGATGTTGTAAGAGCTTTATAAGATTACTTAACTTATATCTAGACATTTTTACCTGTTTCAAATCCTCTGTCTTATTCTGTTGGCAGATATTTATACTTGTTTCAAGCATTATTTCTTGACACCAGCAAAATTACCTGCATTGTGTACTGAAATTATCTGCCAATACAATTAGACAGTCCCTCGAGACAAAATGACTTAAAGCAAATAAAAGAAATCTAGAAATAAGTTGAATAATCTTAATATATTCTTAGACCGATCTTATAATGAGAAATATTAGGTATATTGAATAAATCCAAGATGCTTTCTCTTGCCAAGATATTTTGCAGCATAACTTGCATGACCTTTGTAGTGTTCAGGAGCTCCTTTAATCCTCTTTTTACTGTGTTGCAGGTTTTCTACTATTCTACAAGTATATTCACAAAAGCAGGGGTGGCATATCCTGTGTATGCTACCATTGGTGCTGGGGTTGTGAACACAGTGTTTACTATAGTATCGGTAAGCTACATTACTTTATTTTTGCTGATGTTAACAGCAGCTGATAACTTCCAGTTCGGACATTTGCATAGAAAGTCCATATGTTGCTAAGAACTTTTGCTAAGAACTTTTCCTAAAGTGATTGCAGATGTTTAGTGGGCATCACTGATCACAACATGACATATTTTATGTAGTTTTTCTAAGTAGGTTTTTTAAGAGCATTTGGCTATGAAATTTTTTCCTTTCGTGTAATGTGCAACAACTTTACCCCTCTCTGGCTTAGCTCATGCAATATCTCACTCTTCTGCAGCTCTTTGTGGTTGAACGAGCAGGACGAAGATCTCTGCACCTTACTGGGCTGATGGGAATGGCTGTGTCTGCTGTGGTCATGACCATTGCCATGGCACTGACTGTGAGTGCATACAGAATTTTTTCCATCATTGCTTGTTATTCTGATTTTAAAATAAATCTTTAAAGTGTATAATAGAGAGGAAAATCCAAGTAAACAATCAAAATGTACATGAAATATATTAAAATGCGTATTGTTGTGATTTTTTTGCATAATGACTTGCATTGTTTAAATGTTTTACCTCTACTCCATGTTCATGCAATCCTTTCTAGGACAAATACCCAGACCTTTCATATGTCAGTATTGTGGCCATCTTCGTCTTTGTGGCGTTCTTTGAGATTGGGCCAGGTCCCATCCCGTGGTTCATCGTGGCTGAGCTCTTCAGTCAAGGTCCACGACCCTCTGCTTTCGCTGTGGCCGGTTTCTCCAACTGGACTGCTAACTTCATAGTAGGAATGTGCTTCCAGTATGTAGAGGTATGGAGACCAAGGCACTGTGTGCTTTTTATTTCACAGTTTTACATCAGTTGTTTTCAACGTTACAATCCTGTTTTTTCTCTTGTGTTTCTTCCTCTCAGCAACTGACAGGCCCATACGTCTTCATCATCTTCACTGTGTTGCTGCTCATTTTCTTCATCTTCACCTACTTCAAAGTGCCCGAGACCAAGGGCCGGACATTTGATGAGATCTCAGCAGGCTTCCGGCAGAACCCGAGCTCTGGAGCGGAGAAATACGCCCCAGATGAGCTCAATGCACTGGGTGCAGATTCTCAGCTCTGAGTCCAGCACGTTACTCTCACTCTGCTTGTATAGACTGACCCAGTGGGTGTCCATAAAGTCTCAGAGAAGATACTGTAGAATTTAGGGCAACGATAGATGCATTTCTCTCCAGCAGGGAGAGTCCATCAGCTGAGTCGGCAAGATAGGAAGCCTGTGACTGACTTCAAATTCAAGTTTTTATACCTACATACTTATTTGTGAAGTATTCTTTTAATTGTTTATCTTTTTAGAGAGGTATTTTAGCTCCTCTACTGGCCTCTTGTGTAGGGGTGCACAATCGGTTGGGCTGCATTGATGTGCTGGGGATACCCACCAGCCTATGTGCGTCATATCTGTGCTTTCATTTACCCTGCAGAATCGGAGCTTTGGGTAAAGTGCAAAAAACAATGTTACTGTCTTTGTTGCCTCTTGCTTTTTAGTGTTTTAAAGAACATTTGCTAATAAAAAGTAGCCAAAATATTTGACTGTTCAGAAGTCTGAATTGACTGTAAAGTGCACCCCTACTCTTCTTATGATCTTGGTTTTACAACTTTAATTAGCACTTCCCTGTTGAAAATAAGCATATCATGTAGGCTGTAGTCACACTGCTAGATCACACTCTCCTTTATTTATCTTTCCACTGAAATAAGGTCTGAAAGTCTCAGTTTTATTTATACTTTTATAAATAATAGTACTACTGTATATAAATAGCGCTGTGGATAATATAAATCTTTCTATTCAACCAACAGAACTGGCACACTTATTTATTTCTCTGAAGTGCAGCTCCAACCTCTAGAACACTGAGCTTGAATTTGTCATGCACCCAATCTTCAGGTTATTATGAATCCCATTATGTTTATTGATTTTAGCTTATGCATAGCTCATTGGAGGTGTATTGGATTTATTTTCTAAACAGGGTTTTACACTGATGCTTGAAAAAACAAAGCTTATGACAAGGTTAAATGACAGGTTATAAAAGCTACTAGTCTACAAAGGCTTTTTAAAGCCGTCCATATTTGCTGCAAGACCACTGGCATAATAAATGCAAACAAACGCTTATTTTGACTCATGATTAGGAAGAGTCAGAGACTGAGGAAGCTGTTTCCTGTTTTCCTTAACTGGACCAAGCTTATTTTGCCCCCTTTATATGATTTCACTGTGGTCTCAATCATTGTTTGTTGTATTCCAGATTTGTGTATTCAGAACCATGAACCCACCTAATTTATGTCATTTTTCATATCAATAGTTTCTTTCAAAGTTGCAGTGACAATCTTGTTAATTTATTGCACATCAATAGGCATTACCAGTGTGCGCAATATGTTTCCATACATGTTGAGCTCAACCATGTGTTTGATATGTTTGGTGTGAATGTGCATATGCTGGGTGTGAGTGTGTGTGAGAGTCAATGTGTATGCATGTATGTACATTTGACACCCTTGTTTTCACATTTGTAGCACAATTTATCTCAGAGACATTTATGTAACGACTGCTTTAACATAGTGAATGTTGAAGAAACTGCCCAGCCATGTGGTCAGAGTGTTAAAATGTACAAAACATCAAACATCTAGTACCGATAGAACACAATGCTTAGAGATAATGTTGTTATTACTGTGTTATTATTATCAAGTGGTTCCATCCAAAAAAGGCTATTACTATCTGTACATTATTTTAAAGGAACAGCAGCAGAGGTATTAAAGGTTAAGCAATGTGCCAAGATACACCCTTCTCCTGACAGCTCGTTATTTTTGTAACTGATCCTTTGGTAATCGAAAGCAAAGTTAATAAAACACAATGTACAAACAGGGGACAACTGAGTTGTGTTGTTTTGCTTTGGTTATGATCCTTTAGGTACTGCACATAAAATCAAGCTTTAGGCTTTATGCTGTTATAAGCCAAGAGGAACAGTATTTGCAGTCATTTTAATTTAAAAAAGAAACAAACACAACAGCCATATCTCTCACCAAAAGGAGGCAGCATTGCTCTCATCTATACCTGTGTCTAATCACAGCATATTTACATCAACACAGTGTACAGCCTCCCTACATTCACAGAAAGTGATTTTTTGTAAGTTACCCTGGATTGTTTTGTAAGTCACTCTGGATAGGAGTGTCTGCTAACTGACTAAATGAACAAAAATGGCCAAAAAGATGATATTAAGAAAAACATACAAATAAAAATACTAAAAATAATAAATGATAGTAAAACAAAACTGCCATACACAACAGGCCTACAACAACTGCGGATGACAAGAATTAAGAACCTAATCATCACAATGGGATGCTGTTACACGCTGTTAAATACAATATCACGTAGTTCATCTCTGACTTTCTCCAGCTCTTGTGGGGACTCTTGTTCCCCAGGGTAGACATGCCTGGCAGAAGGCAGTGAGTGCAGACTTATATATGCTGTTGTAACATGCTGTAATATGTTGCAAGACCGTATGTTGTTACATGTTTTTGTTTGAAATGTACCCATCTATGGAAAGAACATTCTTACTGAGGACAACAAAGTTTCTATCTATCTATCTATCTATCTATCTATCTATCTATCTATCTATCTATCTATCTATCTATCTATCTGTCTTTCTATCCTATCCATCTATCTATCTATCTATCTATCTATCTATCTATCTATCTATCTATCTATCTATCTATCTATCTATCTATCTGTCTGTCTGTCTGTCTATCTCTGTCTTTCTTTCTAACCCATCTGTCTAGCTATCTACCTATCTCCTCTGAGCTGCAATCAACAGAGAAACAGTAGTCATAATAAAATGCTAACAGTAAATTAAAACAGAAAAATTCCAGAAATCTCTTTCATTTTTTCTCTTCTCTGCCCCTCAGTTTAGCCCCATCAAACATCACTGACAGGACAAAGGGCCCAGAGTGAGAGTAATGATATACCCCTAACTAGTGCTTGTATGCTTTACTAGACGTCTGTGAACTTCATGTCTATTATAAAGGAGCACCAGTCTGAATCACACCAGCTGACGGTAAATTACTTTCTGGAGGACTGATCCCTCTGTAGCAGGAGTTCATCCAGATGAAAAGCCCCGGTGCTCTTGATCCCTGCTAGGCCTTGAAAGATCAAAGCCGGATTTGAAGTGGACAGACTAAAAAGAAGAAGAACGCAATGTCACTGTCCATGCCCCTTTTGTCCTTTCCTTTTTCATGTGACTAAATACAAGGAAGGAATACATTTAGAAGCTTGTCCTTTTTTCCAGAACATTCTTTACTCAGTTGCCTGCCTAATGTGGAAGTGCAGAAAGAGAGTTCTGTCCAGCGCCACTTCTGAGGGCCAGTTGGTTGCTACTGCCATCGTCCCAACATGACAGTCAGAGCCAGCTGTGTAATGACTATCATTATCAGAATGTCATCTGGTGTCTTGCGCTTTTGACAGAGAGTGACAAATTGCAAGTGATTAGAGAGGGCTGACGGGTTTTCACTTCAGCTGTCTGCACATTTATTCACATTGCACATAACCAGAATCTGAATGAATGCATGGAATATTGTTTGTTTTTCTTTTTAATTCCCTAGGAGATGGGGCAATGAATGCATGAGCGGACCATATGGTAGTTTTCATTGATATTCAGTGATATTTTCCTGATTGTATCAAAAAGTAATTTCGGTAGATGCTGTGCTCAGCATGCAAACAGCAACTGCTGAATCTGGGGTATTTGCATAGCATGTATAAGCTAAGCTGAAAAGAAAAAAGCTCAAACCCATTAGTTTACATGAGCGATCATGCAGAGATCCCTCCCAAAAAAGATTATTAATTGCTTTCTCTTGCATTCATACACCATCTTTCTTTTAATCGCACATGCTTTCATACTTGACAGTTGAGACTCCCAATACTTCATTTGCTTCATCAGCATAATAGTTGCATTGCATAAAATGTATATATTTTCCTAATTCTTTTAAGCAAAATATTGGCAAATAAAAAAAGCCTCTCATTATGTATGTGCCCTGGGCCAGAGCTGGCCATGAAATGAGTGGTGTTGTGTGTATAATGAGCCAAGCAGAGAGGTGTGGTGAGGCTTATCTTCCCAGGCCTCTAATTAAATTTGCTCCCTCTTTACTCACTTGTACTGAGAGTGGTTCATCTGGAGACAACTTGACCTAGATCACTGAGAGATGGCTCTCCCCATCCACTGGACTGCCCTTCACCACTCCATCCAGCACTTTCCCTGAGGCGTGAACTCCAGAGAGATCATCGCTCTTGAAGAGGGCTTCATCAGCATTATATCTCTGTAATTAAAGACTGTTGGAAGATAGACAGAAGAAGATGGGACTTAGAGCATTAAACATTCTGGAAAGATGATGTACAAAGCATCATAAAGTCATTTAACACTTAACGACCACTTTATTGGAAACATCACTTTGTTGGTACACTTTATAGGTGTACATCTTTTTCCATGCATTTTCCTGTGCAAAAGACAGAACACAGCATCAGGTTTAAAAAAAAAAAAATACACAAAATTACACACTGCTCCTCACAATCCAATCACAAATCACAAACATATTCAGTAAAGTTGAGGCCTGGGCTCTGGGGTGGAAAACATCAGCAGCCTCTTTGATTTCCACATTTTCTCCATTTTATCTATTTCCCGCACTGTTTTTTTTGACAGCAACACATCCTTTCAGACCCATAGCACTGAATAATCTTCTCACCGTGGAAGGATAGACAGAAAATCCTGTGGCATGCCTTTCTCCTATCTCTTGAAGATGAAAGCTTTTAGTACTGTTTATCTGACTTTCCCTTTCCTTATACAAGTTGATTATTTTATATATAATATCCTCAGAAATATCTCCTGATATATGATTAATTTGTACTTAGCGGTCACTTTGGAAATTACTGCACAGTACTGCACAGGTACAAGGCACTGTATATATATACCTAATAAACTGGCAACTCAGTGTAAGAATCAAGCAGTTATATCTGTTCAGTGTCACTCAAAAACAATGTGTATTAATGTTCTTTTTCCATATTAGCTCCTAATTAACACAACACTATATCATTTTATCACCTTCATTTTTGTTTTACACTCCTGTAAAAGGGATACAGCAAGGACAAGGTAATTAATAAAATAAAGTGGCGTTTGTGTGGCATTAGATTTGACAATATGTCTGTTAGCTACAGAAAAAAATCAACCTTTTCATAAGTAGTGAATTTTTTCAATGAGAAATGAGGTAATAAAACACTTTTAGTGTCACACTGACACTATTCATTAGCATTTTGACAGTCTTGGTTTGAGCAATTATAAAGGGTGATTTCACTTTGGTGACACTGACATATTCATTGCTGGGTTTAAATAGTCTAGATTATATAGTTAATTGTGAAACATTTTAAGTGAGTTAAGAATATTTGTGGTTAAAATATTATTATTGCGTTAAACAGTACTAAAGTGCTGTGGTGAGTTTTCTCAGTCGTTTTTCTGAGCGCTGTATTAGAGTGGCCGGGTCAGGGTCAATTCTTATGCACATTCAGCATGCAAGACAGTGACCAGGGACCTTCCTGCTTTGTTTATGAAAAAAGTGGTTGGTCACCTTTGTAAACGAATGATTCAAATATGGAGCTACTAGCTTATTTGGGTGCTGATTTGCTTTTGATGGGTCTCTTCTATATTCGGAAACTCAATTCAGAATCTACTGAGACATACTTGTGTGTCAGTGTGTTTGTGTGTGTGTGTGTGTGTGTGTGTGTGTGCATGCGTGCGCATGTGTGTTTAAATATTTTATGCTGTTTTAATATTCATGGCACAGAGAAGGAACAGACTGTCCTCCCTGCTCTGAATTCCAGCAGAAGAAATTCATGGTAATTCACACGGCTTTGTTTGAACAATCATGTCTTGCACAGATGTTCACGTCATTGAGTGCATGAATTGATGATGACTTCCCTGACTAATTGAATCACTTGAGGAGTGAGTTATTGTTCTTGAGGTAGCCCTGTAATAACCCAGGCAACATCCCAGTGTAATAGTGTAGTAAATTCAGCCTGGCAAAATGTTCTTAACATATAAATGTATGCACTTTAAATATCAGCATAAAAAAGTCATAATTGATATGTTGAGCAATGCCAATGCAGAAGACTACAGAAGAACTGCATGTGGCCTTTATAATAACCTGAACTTAGCTTAGACTTTGAAATCTTCTATTAACCACACATATATAAAATGATTTCAAGACTGATACTGCATTTTAAAAAAAGCACAATAATGCTCATGGTTTTATAGGAGCACCAACAAGCGAATATGGCTATTGCAAAAATGAAAACTTCCGCCCCTGTTTTCCTCCATCAACAATTCATGGTGCAAATGCTGTTTTCATAAAATATACATTGAAACGGGCTGGCCTCTCTTGGATTGCTTCATCTTCAGTGGCTCCCACTCGGAGATGAATGTGGTTTGAAGTCATGGGGCATAAGAGGATCTGACTCAAAGACATGAAAGAAGGAGGAGGGAGACTCATACTGTCTTTAGTTTCCCTATTCATGCTCTAGGGTCCCTGTACAATCTGCTGCGCCTGGTACACTGTTAGCATACTGGGAGAGGGCTCCGTGGCAGCCGGCCTGCCACTACTTGCCTGTCCCTGTTATTATTCGCTGATAATAACAGGATGGCCTGACAAAACAAGGTGACTTTCTGCTCGCTAGATGGCAACAATTATAAGAACAATCTATATCTGCCCCTCCTGTCTGTGCCACTTCCTTAGACAAATTGCCTTGTGTTTATTACCAACTACTTCCTTGTGCTCTGCAGCCCTTCGGAAGAAAAAAAAGGAGACCCATAAAGGAACTGTGTAGAGCC